CTTAGTTTCAGAGAATAGTGGTACAGTGTGGCATCTATAGGGCATCTTCTTCTGAGGGTTGCAGCCATTGTTGATTCCCTATGGTATTGTTTTGGAAGTCCTGCATCATTTCCATTGTTTTGTTGGTTGGGTTTTCTTTTCTTTTGTTTGATTGTGTCAAATCCAATGGCATGAGCAGCTATTTCAAAGATAGCAAGATATATTATGGTAGTCATTTTGGATTTCCTATTGGCTTGTTTTGAAGTCCTTTATTGCATTCATTGCTTTATTTTTATTGTTTGTATTCTGCTCTGTTTGATTTTTACTATGTGTGAAGTTATCTGCAGCTATTTTGAAGACATCAAGAGGCATTATGGTAACCATTGTTGATTTCATGTTTTGAAGTCCTCTATGTATTTTTTTTTTTTGGACCAGGGATCGAGCTCATGACCTCACACTTGCAAGGCAGGCACTTATGCTGCTGAGCTAAATCCCCAGCTCCTTGAAGTCCTGTATCTCTTACACTGGTTTGTTTTGATTGATTTTATTCTGTTTTATCCTCTTTTAAAAAAGTTACAGAAGAATATTTAGTAACATGAAAATATTTACACGTTAAGTAATGTATAAAACAAGTTATTACAATTTTTATGACATTTGCATAAAGGCATGTTTTTTTGTCTTTCTTTGAGAAGGGGGTCTCACTATGCAGATCAGGCTGGCCTTGAGCTCACTTTTGGTCTCCAATCCACAACGATCCTCCCACCTCAGCCTCCTGAGTGCTGGGATTACATGTGTGAGCCACCACGCCCGGCTCTCATAAAGGCATTTTTATAACCAAAATATGTCTGAATGGAATTTATATGTAAGTACACATATCAAAAAATAGCCAACATAGGCCAGGCATGGTGGCACATACTTTTTTCTTTTTTTGAGACAGGGTCTCACTATGCAGTCCAGGCTGGCCTTGAGCTCATTTTGTAGCCCAGGCTAGTCTCGAACTCGCAAGGATCCTCCTGCCTCAGCCTCCCGAGTGCTGGGATTACAGGTGTGAGCCACCACACCTGGCTGCTTTTTTTTTTTTTTTGGTGGCACATACTTGTAATCCCTGTACAAAGGGAGAGTGATGCAGGAGGATCTCAAATTCAAATCCCACCTAGGCAAATTAGTGAGAAACTGTCTCAAAATTAAAAATAAAAAAGGTATTATTCTTTGTTCAGAGTGATTTTAGTCTGCTTTGGTTTGTTTAATCTCAACATAAATGAAGATTGGACAAAGGCGTGTATGTTTTAGTGTATAGGATTGATAATCATATTACTGTTTTTGTTGGATAGTTGAATAGAAGAACTATTTGCAGTCTCGCTGTTTGAATTCCCATTTATATGTTCCACTTTTGTATTTTTAACAATTATTTGTAAGAGGACAAAATGTAAACATCAACTAGTGATTTATTAGTTTTTTTCTTTAAAAGTATGTATTATTTCTATCCATTTTGTTTTGTTTTGTCTTTAAATAAAATTCTAAAAAAATAAAAATTATAAAAGGTCTGGGCATGTAGCTCAATGCCAAGGCCTTAGGTTCAATACCTAGTACCACCACAAAAAAAAAATAAAGCCAAAATGGCTTTGAAGACACAAACTGGAAGGCTTACTCTATGAAGAATCAAACTCAGCTAAGTGTGGTGGTGCACACCTATAATCCCAGCACTCTGGAGGCTAAAGCAGGAGGATCACTGGGAGTTTGAGGTTAGCCTGGACTACATAGTGAGTTTAAGAGCAGCCTGAACTAAAATAGTGAGACCCTGCCTCAAAAACCAAAGACCAACAGTCCCCAAAAAAGAATCAAGCTCAATTATAAAGGTTCAGCAATTAAGAAAATACAGCATCCACAAGAGAACTATTTATTTATTTGTTTATTTTTTTTGAGACAGGGTCTCACTATGCAATTCAGGTTGGCCTTGAGCTCACTTTGTAGCCCAGGCTGGTTTCAAACTTGCATCGATCCACCTGCCTCACTCTCCTGAGTGCTGGGATTACAGGAGTGAGCCAACATGCCCAGATTTTTGAGAACAATTTAAGAATAAAAAAGAACACAATGCAAGTGTCATAAGCTTTTTTCTGAAGAGGTCCAGATACTAAAGACCATACGCTTTGCAGGTAACATGGTCTTCGTTAAAATCATTCAGTTCTGCTGTTGTAGCACAAAAAATAGGGACAGGTAACATGTAGACAAATGGGAATGACTGGGTTCTATGACAATTGACTTACAAAAGCAAGAAGGTAGCCTTAGTTTCCAGAAACAGACACATAGAATCCAGAAACAGACACATATATAAAGGTACAAATTTTGATACAAACTATAGACATAGATATGACTTATGATAAAGGTGGCACTGAAGAGCAAGGAGGAATGAATGGTTTTTTAATAATATATAGGTCTGACTGACTAAACATATAGAAAAGAAATTGACCCTACTTTATACCATACTTAAAAATAAACTCCCCTTCCAGTACAAGTATACATGTGAAAAATCTAAATGATACAGCTTCTAGAAAACTGTATAGAACATATTCATGACTTGGGGGCAGAAAAAGTTTAAGACCCAAAAGCAATAACCACAAAAGAATTATTATTTGGGTTGTGTATCAGTCAGCACCTACTAGAGAAACAGCATATAGGACAGATATATATGCTGGTCATGGTGGCACACTGCTATAATTCCAGCACTCAGGAGGCTGAGGCAGGAGGATGCTGCAACTTGAAGACCAGTGAGTTCAAGGTCAACTAAACGGCACAGCAAGAGCCTGTCTCAAAAAAGAGCTATATAAATATACTGTAAATGGACTTACAAGGTATCTTTACAGTGGCTATCTGCAGAGTCAGGTGTGGAAAGGGGCAAAATGGCTGGCTGGGTGCTGGGGATCTGAAGGAACCAGTCAAAAATCAAAGGCCTGGAGCTCACTGTAGTGTTAGTCCCTATCAGGAAGTGTTACCCCCTATTTTAAATCAAAGAGCCTGCTCTGGGAGCCAGATGTCCAAGACAAAGGCAAAGACTGGAACTCTCCCTGAGAAATAGAGGTGAGCTTTCCTTCTTTATTCCACTCAGGCTACAAGCCTATTGGTTGGTGCTATTCACATCCAGGACCTTCCCATCCTCAGTAAGTCCAGTCATACCCAGAATTATGCTAAGTTAATCAGCGGGCGTTTCTTACTTACATTGACACAATAGTTAATTATCACAGGTCACATTAAAATTATGCATTTTTATTCATCAAAAGATAGTTTGGGGCTGGGGATTTAGCTCAGCAGCATAAGCACCTGCCTTGCAAGCAGGCAGTTGTGAGTTCGATCCCCGGTACTGATAAAAATGAAAAAGACAAAAAAATTTAAAAAAAGATAGTTTGGGCTTGGGCATGGTAGTGCACGCCTATAATCCCAGCAATCAGGAGGCTGAGTCAGGAGGATAATCATGAATTTGAGGCCAGCCTAGATTACAGTGAATTCAAGGCTAGCCTAAACTACATACTGAGGCTCGGTCTTAAAATATAAATGAAAGATAGCTTGTGATAAAATGTTGGCAATGTGAATCATTTTCTTTTTTTTTTTAATCGGTACCGGGGATCGAACTCACGACCGCCTGCTTGCAAGGCAGGTGCTTATGCCACTGAGCTAAATCCCCAGCCTGACATTTTCAAACTCAGAAAATATCTCAAATTCCTATAAATGAATTTTTTTTTTCTTAAACAGGGTCTTACTATGTACATGGCTCAGACTGGTCTCAAACTGATGGTGATCCTCCTGCCTCAGCCTCTTGAGTGTTAGGATTATAAGTGTGTGCCTACCATGCCTGGCCCTCCTACAATGAAAAAAATTTTTATGAAAATTTTAAGACAGAAAATGTAATAGTAAATTAGACAAGAGACTCAAACACATGATCAAAAAGAAATATCCAAATAATCAATAGGTACCTAAAAAGATGTTTAAATCCATTATTTATCAGGAAAATGTAAATTTAACATACATTAGAGGTGTACACCTGTAACTCCAGCACTCAGGAGGCTGAGGCAAGAAGACTGATGTGAATTTAAGGCCAAACTGGGCCTCAGAATGAGATCAGGACCAGCTTGAACTATATAGCAAGACCACGTCTCAAAAACCAAAATCAAGAGCCGTGATGGTTCACATCTGTAATCTCAGTATATGGGAGGCTGAGGCAGGAATTTGAGATGTATGTCTTGAGCCAGAAATTACCCAGATTTGGAGCAGAATGGAACAGAAAGGCATCCAGACTCATGGAGACACAAGAGGCAGAATCCCCAAAGCCCACAGAGAAGGGAGGGGCACCCATCCTCAGCAGTGGAAAACCCCTGCTCCTACCTACCACCCTCAATCTTTGATGGCCAGGATGTCTTTAAATGTAGGAGGGTCCCAGCAGCTTGTTTCTAAGAGTCTGCTACTAGTTTCTTCCAAAAACTTCACCCCCGTACAGAAGAGCCCTGGACCACCCTATAAGAAGCCTGGGCTATTTTGAGGCAGGGAGGCCATGTGGGAGAAGATGGAAGTGCTAGGCATGTGGGTGGAGAATCCATCTGGGATGCCCAGCTTGACTGCATTTCAGATGACTGTAGCCCCAGCTCCCATCAACTGCAACCACCTGTGACCTCAAGAAGAGCCAGTCAGTTGGGACCACACAGCCCACAGGGTAGTGACAGATAATACTACTTTGTGCCAGGTGTGGTGGTACATGCTTGTATTCCCAGCACTGGGGAGGCTGAGGCAGGAGGATCACGAGTTCAAGGCCAGCCTGGGCTACAAAGTGAGTTCAAGGCCAGCCTGAACTGCATAGTGAGACCCTATCTCAAAAAGGAGAAAAAAAAAACTACTTTGTGCTTGTAAGTCACTAAGCTTTTGGTTATTACACAGCAACAGATAATCAAAACATCCAGGAAAGGCTGCGATGGCTTTTAAAGCTTGTGACATTCCCATCTCCATGTCCCCTTAACAAAAGCAACAGAAGCCAGTCACATTTTTCAGTCCCTTTAATTATGTGCCCTGAGGAGTGGGTAGATGGCCTGCAGGGGGTAGGGAGGTGGCTTTCCTTGAGGCCCACCTGGTCAGTCATCGTCTGGCAGCTGGATCTTGCTGGGGTCAAAGCAGTTGGATTCCATGAGGGGGAGGCCGTTGGCCTCTCGGTATTTCACAAGCCTCTCAGCTTCTCGGCAGGCCCAGTCGTGCATCCTGGAGGTAGCAGCGGCAGGGGCAGATGTCCCAAAGTTTCACTGGACACCTATCCCACTCCCCAGTGGTATAGAGACAGGATATCCAGTAGAGACCCCTCCAACCTCTACCCTGCCTCTGCCCCCATCCTTCCCGCTCTCACACACCCCCTGCACCTACCTGTAGTCTGGCAGGTAAGCCACAAAGGTGGTCCCAAAGACGATGACAACGGAGAAGCCAAAGAAGAAGACAGCACGCATGTTCCAGACATCTATGGTAGGGTCCTTGTCAAAACCATGAGAGTCTGGGTTCTGTGGAAAAGGAGACATCAATGAAGGCTCCCTGCTTCTCCATAAAGCCAGATGCTATCCATAAATAACCTGATTTCCACTCAACTCAGTCTCTCCTTCTGCATTAAATTTGTCTTCTTCTATTCTTTAATTTTTTTTTCTTTTTGAGATAAGGTTTCACTATGCAGTTCAGGCTGGACTTGAACTCACATTGTAGGCCAGGCTGGCCTCCAACTTGCTGGGATCCTCCTGCCTCAGCTTTTCAAATGCTGAGATTACAGGCATGAGCCACCACGTCTAGCTTGTTCTATTTTTAAAACATGTTACATTGCTTGCTGAAGTTCGTTGAATAGTAGCTGGTGGAACCAGTATTTGAGCCTCCAGTTACCAGGTACCTATGTTGTATTAATAGCAGAGACTTGGGAGTCAGACGGCCGGGGTTGGTATCCAAACACTAACAGTTACTTGCCTGTGTGACCTTGGGCAAGTAGCTTAACTGCTCAGTACCTCAGTGTCCTCATAAAATGGGAAAATTAATAACGTATTTAAAGAAATAAGATACACCTTCCCACCACAGAGCCTTTGCACTTGCAGTTCCTGCTGCCTAGAAAGCCTTTCCTCCCAGCTCTAATCATGACTGGCTCCATCTCTATCTCGTCATTCAAGATTTTGGCTTCATCAATTCCATTAGGAGGTACATCCTAAGTCACTTTTTCTCTTAAGTTGAACCACAGGAAACTGCTGTTTTTTATGTTTTTTTTTTCCTAACAATTTTATTGGTACACTTTAGATATACATAAAACTGATATTTTAATTGGTCAAAAGTGGTTACATATTGACAATTTCCTATGGTTGAACCTAATAAAAAAGAGGTTACATATTGACAATTTGCTATGGTTGAACTTAATAAAATACTACCAAGTCAACTTTTCATCCACTTATTCTATTGCATCTTATATAGCTAAGCCTCTGAAAGAGAGGCTAAGTATCAGGTTTTTTTTCTTTTTCTTCTTCCTTTTGCAGACCAAACCCAGGGGCACTCTACTACTGGGCTACATCCTCAGCACTTTTGAGACAGGGTCTTGCTAAGTTGCCCAGGCTCGCCTGGAACTTGCAGTCCTTCTGGCTCAGCCTTCCAGGTAGCCGGAACTACAGTTGCGTGCCACTGCACCAGGTACAACGAGGCCCTTTCAAATACACAAACTTCTCAGTGAGGCAGAAAGTGGCAGTAATCCCTTCTAATGCGAGTAGAGTACTTTAAAAGTGTCAGCTGTTGCTATGAGTGTTTGATGCAGTTAATTACAAGAGGCAGGTGTATCTTATTTCTTTAGATCCGTTATTACTTTTCCCATTTTATGAGGACACTGAGGTACTAAGCAGTTAAGCTACTTGCCCAAGGTCACACAGGCAAGTAACTGTTAGTGTTTGGATACCAACCCCGGTCGTCTGACTCCCAAGTCTCTGCTATTAATACAACATAGGTACGCGGTAACCGGAGGCTCAAATACTGGTTCCACCAGCTACTATTCAATGAGCTTGGGCAAGCAATGTAACATATCTGTAGAATAGGAATAGTAACATCTCTACCTTAAAATTGGTTGTTTCACAGATTAGACGAGTTAATGTACACAAAGTGTTTAGAACAAAGGCGCGCAAGTGGCATTGCTACAATAATCAGGGTTTTTGTAGTACCTCGACTACATTGTTTCTAATGCGTTTGATGTCTGTAAAACAAAACCAATCCCAGCTCTCGTCCTGAACGAAGATACCAGGCCACAAAGTTGGAAACCAAAATAGGCAGCATTTCCAAGTCTTGGATTTAGTCAGTTGTCTTAAAACGTCCTCTAGATGCCGCTTCGGACAATCCCCAGCTGACCCCTCCTATGTCCCGGTTCCCCTTCCCTCTCACCTTCTCATACAAGTTTTCTTCCTTGGGTTCTGGGTCCTCCTGCCATTCTGAGGCTGGTTCTGGCGCCCGCTTTCCGGCTATAGTGGATGGAGTGACCACAGCCCTGGAAGCGCTGGATTGCCAGTTAACGCGAGCAGTCAGGAGCCCACGCGTCGCCGCTGCTGCCAAAAGGCGACGAGCGCAGAAGCCTAACAGCCCGGGCGCCATGACAGACAGTGCTGCAGAACCCGCGGGGCGGGAACGGAAATGCGACTATGCGCAGCTGCAGTTGATGCTTGTGCGCTTGTCGCTCCGCCCTCCCCGCACTAAATAGGTCCTGGATCTGAGTTTGTTTTTTATTGAATTGGGACACAAGGAGCCCTCTCTCCTTTCCATATCATGGCCTTATGGGGCCAATCATTCTCTCAATCGGGCTAAGGAATTTCGTCTTGATAGGTGTGCTCATTTCCTTGATAGGAAGAAAGAGATGACATCTGGGTGGCCCTTTGGGGAAAGAGGTGGAGCTTCCGCTTGTCTTTCAACTTCTAAGGAAGCCAAGCTTCTAAAAAGCGGGCCTTGGGGGATCAGCCAATAGCTACGCTTTTTCTGGACCTGTGGGGCGTTCACGCCGAGAGTGGGGAGGTGGCATGCGTTTGCCAATCAGAGGAGGCCAGGGCTGGCCGATGACAGGCGGCGACCAATAGACAAGGCCGGCCAGAGCGCGCTCCCTTAGTAGGTGGATGGTGGTCGGAGCGCCGGCTCCCTTCTCCTCGTCGCCATTTTGTGCTGGTGATTGCGGCCGGCGTTGAGTAGGCTGCAGTGACTTTCCCTGGGAGGGCATCGCTCTTGGCTCCTCTCCCCTCTCCCGCTCCTCCCTTCCGCCTGCAGCCGTGGACTTGATTGTGATGTGCTTGGGCCCCTGCTGAGCTGGGAGAGTTGGAAGAGGTGGCAGCGGGCCGAGGTGATGCCTGGGAGCCCTCTCTTGACAGCCCGGGCCGAGAAGGTGAGCGTCGACGCTGGTCGTGGGGGCGGAGGTAAGGGACCCGGGGCGGGGGCAGGGGCGGAGGCGAGCAGGCGCGATTGCGGACTGTGGGTCTGGGATCGCGGCCGGCTGAGGGAAGGGTGCACGCGCGGGCGGAAGCGGGGGTGGGGGGCTCCCCCCCAGTCTGAAAGCCCTAGCGTGCGCGCGATTTGGACACGGGCTGGGCGCACGCGGGTTGGGGGAAGGGAGAGACGAATGGGAGTGGGTCGCTGAGGAGTCCTGCGGTTTACTCCATCGAACTTTATCCGTGGGAAGCCGCGTGTCTGTGACTTTCGTTTGTGTCCACTGGAGAGCGGGGTGCTTGCTGTTCCGTGTTACTCTGGCACTTTCTGTCCGTGGGGAAAGGTTCTGTAGCTCCAGTCCTTGTTCATGGGGGCGGGGAGAGGGAGGGACGAGACAAAGTGACTCCAATCTTTATCCTTGGGGTGTGTATCTGTGACTCCAGTCCTTCTCCATCAGGGGGCTGTCTTGTTACAGGCCCTAAACCCACTTGGTGAATGCGGAGCCGCGTACGGGGAATTTGTATGTGACTTTTGCCCGTTTTAGGGGACTGTTGGTATCTGCAACACTTTGAAAGGGGGCTCGCTGTGTGATGATGGACCTTATTTGAGGGTTCTGTGTGTGGTTTTGGCTCCTAGTCGTGTGGGGCTTCTTGTCGTAACCTGGCTTCTTGTGGCTACCAGTGTTAGCCTGTCGCCCTTTTGCCACAGTTCTGTGGGGGTTTTGTGTCTCACTCTCAGCCACTAGGGCTCCTGCATGATTCTAACTTCTCCATATGGGAAGTAATTAGCTCTCGCTGTCTGTGACTTGAGGAGGAAGACAAAATTGGTGTTTATATGTGTATGGAAGAAAGGCGTGGTGACGACCTGACGTTGGGCAGGTGCTGCAACTGTCTGGCTTTACCTGATTTCTGTTCAGAGGGCGGGGCCAAAGATTCTGGGATAAGTTCTGCCCCCTGCCTGGGTCACATGCTTCTTGGGACTCCCTTCGTTCTTACAGGCAATCCTAAGAGGTGAATTCACCGCGCCTCCATCTCATCAAAAGGACACAGTGTTTCAGAACAGCCTGGGAAAGGGCTCCCTTTGCCTCTGGAAAACTCAGCCTCAGATCCCTGAGGTTGGAGCCACCTTGGGACCAGGCAGCACATCAGGGTGGGCCACTTGCAGTATGAGGGCCAGGAGCCCAAAGAGGTGGCAGCTGTCCTGTTGCCAAGTTAGCCACTTTACACACACCCAAACAGCTTTTCCCCGGATTCTGTCTGTCTTGTCAGGGGCAGCCAACATCCTGTTAGGAAAATGAAGTGGACAGGTGGAAGGAGCCCTTTGAGGGCCAGGGACTTGAAGTCATTCAGCTCTGTGGGCAGCCCTGCAGCAGCCCAGAGCTTGGACTTGTGTGTCAGTCTCAGGTGGCAAAATCCCGATCCCATAGTGGGTGGTGCTTGCCTCTGCCAAGATGAACCCCCTCACCTCCAATGAAGGCTTTGCTGTTTCCTAGGGCAGTGGGCACTTGCCTCCTGTTTGTGGGAAAAGGAAGATGCAAGCTACATAGGGGCTACCTGCCTGCTCCAACACACAGGAACACTAGGAGGTGGGAAGCAGTGTCCCTGGACAAGGGACAACAAAGAGCCATGACAAGGGGTGGCTCACAAGGAGGCCCTCTCTGCCCCAACTGCCCTGACCTCTTTCTTCCTTCCACTCTCCCCAGAGTCCCTGCAGGAGGCATCACCCAGGCTGGCAGATCATGGTGGCAGCAGCGGGGGTGGCTGGGAAGTGAAACGGAGCCAGCGGCTGAGGAGGGGCCCCAGCAGCCCCCGAAGGGCCTATCAGGACATGGAGTATGAACGTCGGTAAGTTGTGGCTTCCACCCCTCCCAGGTGCCTATGCTTATCTTGCATGAGAGCTGGCCCAAGAAGGTGCTAGAAGAGGATGCTTGGGCAAGGGAAAGAGTACAGCAGATGAGTCGTTTCTTTGTAGCAAATATGTATCCATCACCTGTTGTGAGCTAGGACTTGTGCTAGCCTCTGGGAGTACAGTGATGAATGAGACAGATTGTTGGTGCTCAGTGTCTCATGGGGGAAAGTAGGCAGGTAACACGTGATGACAATTAGCTTGAAGAGTACACGTGGTTTGATGTGAGAGTGGGGAGGCTGAAGCTCAGCCTTCCAACTTGAGTGACCTGGATAGGCATATAGGACCATTAACCAAGGTGAAGGTAACCACTGTAGGAGGAGAAGGAGCAGGAGAAGCAGAGAGATAGCAAGGATGTAGCTTGGAGTTTGAGAGATGGATAGGAGTTGCATGATCAGGTAGGAATTTGCCCAGTAGAAGTGCTATATTGGGCAAGCCAGATCAGAGAGTGGGAGATACTGGGGACTGAGTTGGCTACAGGTGGCATATTTGTCTTGGAAGAGATAGTTACAGGGTTTTCATTTTTTTTGCTTTTTTTTTTTTTTTTTTTTTTTTACCGGTACCAGGGATTGAACTCACGACTGCCTGCTTGCAAGGCAGGCGCTTATGCCACTGAGCTAAATCCTCAGCCCCAGGGTTTTCATTTTTGTTTTGAGATAAGTTCTTTCTATGTTGCCAAGGCTAGTCTCAAACTCCTGGGCTCAGGCAGTCCTCCTGCCTCAGCCTCCCAAGTGCTGGAATTATGGGTGTGTGCCCACTCAGCGTTACCCTTTTTAACATGTAGAATAATATTTTTCCTGGGAGGTGAACCCAAATTTGAGATAGGATACTTATATAGAGTTAGTCTCTCGACCTTCATTTAAAATGTTTTTTGAAAGACATTTGATTTTTGTATGTCTTCACCCAAAGTGCTCTGACCATGTCCCAGTTTGAGAAGGTGACATACTGGCCTCAGGTTTATTACTAAGTAAGGCTACTGGCTTGCTTTTGACTTTTAAAGAACTTGAAGTACAGATGTTTGAGTTAATTACACTTTAGTTCAAGGGAGGTTTTTATCATAGGTCAGTCACTACAAACCTTCCTTCTGCTGTTTCTCATTTTTCTCAATTTCCACTTCTGTGGGCAGCCGCTCTGTGGTACTTGATGTGTACCCTAAACTAGGTAACATTTCAAGTGTGCTTTCAATTTATACAAACAGCATAGTGCTACAGTCTTGTTTTGGATCCTGAACTTCATGGTTTTAATTCTGCCTGTAATGCCATGTGTATATTAGTGCTTTGCCTCTAATTGCTCCCAAGGCCCCGTGGGTATTCTTACTGTAGTTTACTTAATGATTTCCCCAAGGATGGATACCTGTTCTTAATTTGATATGCTAAAGTCGCTACTTTTTTGGCTTATAATTTGTGCTTTTAGAATCTTTTGTTTTGCTAGCCTACATCACATAGATTATTTTATTTTATTGGGTTTTTTGATACAGAGTCTTGCTGTGTAGCCCAGACTGGTCTCAGATTTGCAGTGATCCTCCTGCCTCAGCCTCAGAGTGCTGGGATTACAGGCATATGCCATCACACCTAGCTACATAGATTAGTTTACCCTATCATTTTACCTTTCTCATTCAGGTCTTTAATTCATTTATATAAGGTAGGTTCTGAGTTTTCTTCATGTAGTGGGCAATCTGCCCAGTGCCACCTCCTGAATAGTATGTTGTCTCTATTGATTTGTAGAACCTCATCTGATTTTAGTTGAGTGATCTAATTTGTTCCATTACTCTATTTGCTTATTCTTTTCTTGTATGCCAGAACCTTACTGTTATTATAGTAGTTTTACAGAATGTCTTACTGTTCTAGTTACAGTTGTTTTATGGAATATTTGCTCCTTTTTAAGTTGATTTAACCATTTGTGAAATGTATCCATTATGAACTGCAAACTTAGTAATTAAAGTAAAAATTTTAAAAAGAGTTTATCAAGGAACTAGGGTTGTAGCTCAATGGAAGGAAACCAATTTTGTTTCAAATAGAAAAGCTTGTCTGCTTAGCAACATGAGGCCATAGATTCCATCCCCAGCACCTCAAAAAAAGCTTAAATCAAATCTCTCAAAAATGCTTATCAAGAATTTTGACCAAGGTGGTACTGGATTTCCATATTTAGAGAAAATGCTATCTTTATAAGTAGTCATCCAAGACCTATATGGAATGCTTTAAAATTTGTGGAAAGGGCATAAAATACGAATAAATGAAAATAGATTTTGCCTATTTATTAAATGAACATCTAGGTAGATACTCATTATTTATAAAATACTTTCCATCCTGGTATTTTCTGGGATAGAGAAAAGCTGTTGGCATCTGTATATTATCCCATTTGTACTCTCCTGCTGTTTCTATAAGTTCATTGTTTGCCTGTAATCTCCGCACTCAGGAATCTGAGACAGGAAGATCATTGTGAGTTTGAGACCAGCCTAGGCTACAAAGTGAGCTTAAGGCCGGTCTGAACTACGTAGTGAGACCCTGTCTCAAAAAGACAAAAAAAAAAAAAAAGATTGATTGTTGATTCTGAT